TTCATTTTGTTGTCAAAACTTCAAATAAATGTTTACTGTTTTAATTTTTTTTTTACGCATTCCTACTATATCAATACTCTCCTTAGAAATGAAGATTCCAATTACATACATATGTATGTGTGACAAGTCACTCGAATGTCGCTACGAGCTTATCGAAGTTTATAGGCATAATAAATTTGTGTTGTCACGTATACTTACTTAGTCATCTTTGGTATAAATGAAATCATGGGCCAGAATTCCATACTTACAATATGTTATGTGATCCTGCAACCGACCGTGAAGTCAATAGAGGATATCCTCATGCATAGATACTTTAATTCAGACACCTTTTTCGACATCCCAGAGACTTTTAACAACGTCTTTCCGGGTGCAATCGTTAGTTACTGGATTAGCTTGGTGTTGAAACCGCAGGCTCGGACCCCAAGGTGGACATCTCTCACGTCTCACGAAGATGAATACGAAGACTTATGTCAAGCTAAACACGAATACGAAGACTATTATGAGGACGAATACGCATACGATCCGAAGACGAATGCGAAGACAGCGACTAAAACGAATACGAAAGTGAATGCGCAGACTGAGACGAACTAACGGACGACAGGTCTTATGCGGTTGTTGCCGCTATTGCAGCCGCTACAACAACAACAACTAAGAAGAAGAATATGTATGTACATACATATGTATATTAGGGTGGACCTTAAAAAATCAAATGAACGACTTCTTTCAATCTCAGCCCCTCAATCGGTAATACCACGGTCAGAGATAAAACATATAAATTTTGGTTACGACGTCTTCATAGGGTAACCTGAACTTTGAAACCTGTGCGCCACGCCTTAACCGACTCCAATCGGGACCAAAATTTATATGCGATATCTTCGCCTATAGTAGCACCGACGTAGGTTTTGAGGCCTAGGAAATCTGATGTAAAAATTTACTTCCTATATTTAAGGACCGCCCTAATGTATATACAAAAGCCAGGAAATCGGCCGAATTTCGGTAGTAACTGCAACTCCTTATGTCAAATATTTTATTTTCATAAATATATATTTTCACTGAGATTTCTTTTTTTTTAACACACGCTACAGTGCAAAACTGTGCCCGTGGTTATTTTTGTTAAACATTTGCAAAATTTTTAAAGTTAAAAATTGTTTATTATTTTTTTAATGCTTTAATCAAAACCATATATAGTAAATCAAACTTTAAATTTTTATGCAGTGCTTAGAAACATTTAAAAAAATTTCATCAAAATTTTAACTTTTTGACCTGAATTTTTAGAAGATTAGAAAGTGCTAGTTTTAAACAGCAGAAACATCTCGTCGATTTTTAATATTTTTTTCTGACGGCGTTGATCTTTTAAAACTTTCTTTGCATATGGTCTTCCGCATTTCTGCCAAATGCAAAACAAATTTGTGTGGAAAATAAGTGCAAAAAGCCGTCAGCAAAAAAGAAATATTAAAAATCAACGCGATTTTTCAGCCGATTAAAACTTGCACTTTACTATACTAAAATTTAACAGGCTATAAAACTGTAAATGCAAAATTAAAAGGCGCAAAATTTTTATGAAAATTTGCTGAATTTTGTTAAGCCCTGCATAAAAACTGAAAGCTTGATTTATATGGTTTTGGTTAAAACGTTAACCAAATTTTTATAAAAAAGTTAAAAAATTAACTTTAAGAACTTTGCAAATATTTAACAAAAACCACCCGGACTCAGCTTTGCACTATGGTGTAGCTATTCTCTTAAGCTGGAAAACTCCTCGAAATCCTTGATAGTCTTCAAAAGTTACTCAACCGTCAAAATTTGTCTAAAAAAATAATTATTTTGAATTTGCCAGTTTTTCGAGCTTATGGGGACCACATCGCTTACTTTTGTGAAGAAACGAAGAAAACTTTATCCATTCTAGAATTTAAGTAGACCATTTAGTTAATCGCTTAGCATTAAATTAGGAAGAGTTTTGAAATTTGTAAGGATTGCGAGACATTTTCTAATTGAAGAGTCAAACACTATTATTATTATTATTATTATTATGTTTTGTGTTTTTTTGAACACATATACATAAGTAGTACATATGCAAACGCAATTCAATATTTCCACAACGACAGCGTTATAAATAACGAAATTATAAACCAAACCGACGATTGAACTTTTCCGGCAGCATTCCATAAGACATCCCAATCGCCATCCTGTTCGGCGAACTTATTGCAACCATTCGTATTGCATAGCTGACAATCGTACAATTCTTCTCCCGCAACAATCGATTGACAAGTCAAAACATTGTTGGCGCGCACCATTGTGGCACAACCGCGCTTGGTGATGATGGTATCATTATTGGCTGCTTTTTTTGTTTTAAAGAATAAAAAAAAATTATTAGACATATGTCTGAATATGTATGAATACTTTCTGAAATTCCACTCACCTCTAAATTTCACCATATAGCACACAGCATCATCGGCGCGGCTAAACATTCGATTTCTACGCCGCATCCGCCTATCGGTGTCCGCATAGTCTACATCGTAATCACTATCCCCGCCATCCGCCTCCTCACTTTCAGTCTCGTTGGCTGCCGGCCGCTTTGTTGTTGTTGTTGTTGTTGTACGCGTGGTTCTTATGCTTCGAGTTGTAGTTGTAGTTGTAGTTCGTGTTGATGTTCTAATATTACCAGGACGCAAAGTTGTATTTGCTGGACGTACAACTAACTCTTCAGATTCTTCATCACTATAATCGGAATCTTCATCGGCTACAGACGATAGTGTTGAGTTGCCGGCAACGGTACTATTTAGTTTGGTTGAATTTTCCGAAGGTGTAGTTGTCGAAGAGATTTGTGTTGTCGTTGTTGTTTGCCTAGTGGGTCTAATAGTTGGAGGCAATCCACCACAGATTTGTAGCTCATTGAAATCCTCTCCATCTTCGCAGTTAGAGCAATCGTAACATTGTAGAGCTGGAAGTAAAAAAATATGGGGAAGAAGTTTCTTTGAAATGTTTTAAATAAGTTCAAAGCTAATGGTTTTTTATGGTATGCCTCGAGAGGACAATACCTGACAACTGTAATCCAGAAACAATTTGCAGAATACCATCACTGTTTTAGTTGAGGTTCCATGAAAATTGGAAACGAGCCAACTTAAGAATGAAGAATCTTAATCAAAAATCTTAATCAAATCTACCGCGGTCTAAGATTTTTCAGAACGAAAAATATTTATCACTGAGGATGACACAATCCCAAAACTGGTTTGCCCCCAAACGTCACAATTTTGTTTACAGTGTGTTGAAGTTTTCCTAATTTCACCTCAAGTTCATCTGAATTATTTAAGAAAGCTTATATAAAACAACATTTACGGGTCTATAGTAAAATTGAATGGTTTTCACGACAATAGAATTTAGTATATTCAGTATTATTGTGAATTCAAGATGGCCGCCGCCACAAAAGGGCGGATGTCATATTTTTTCACGACCTGCACAATATGGATATCAAATGAATCCAAATTTAAGATGGCCACCGCCACAAAATGGCGGATTATATAAATTTTTTAATCCACTTAAAATGGGTATCAAATGAACGAGACGTATAAGGACAAGATTAATTTAACGCGTGATTTTATGCGAAATTTTTCAAATAATTTTTACCAACTTGATACCATGTTAGGAGAACTTCAATACACTGTAAAAAAAAATTGTGACGCTTAGGCGCAAAACGGCAGGTGGTCCAATAAATTGAATACCGCATTAGTGCAAATTTTTGATCCTCTTATGAGCAAAACTTACAGAAATTCCTTAAGTCTATTACCCTGTTCGTCTGTGTGATGGAATTATTTAGCATTTTTTTTTTTAGTTTTTGTAGCTTATTTTCGTAGTTAGCTTTTGTGTGAATTAAAAATTTATTTAATGAAAGAAAAATATCTCTATAAAAGAAATGGCCAATGTCATATTTGAAAGGTACGAGGCATTTAACCAATTGAATCGAACTACTAAATAATTATGTAGATAATATTCATGTAGATATTTTTTGCCATTATTTGACTTTTCATTTGCTCTTTCGATTCTAATTGTCTGCATATACACATACGTACTTATATACATATGGACATATATACTCGCAAGCAATGAATTTCAATTTTGTTACCTCAAATATTTGCACTTGATAACGCCAAAATCAATCGCGTCATTTTTTTGTCAACTATTGCTTTTGTGTGACTAAATAACGCGTGCTGATATGGGTATCTAGTAACTATATTTATATATTTACATATATGTATGTGTGTGTGTATGTAGGTAAACATACCCTGCAGGGAAACGCCGAACTAGTGAACCAAATTTCTAGTTGAGTAAAAGATCTTCATAGCCGAAAACGAACCACGCCGACAGTAGCTAGATCACATCCAGTTCCAAAGCATGCAAATGTGGTACTTTTACAAAAATATCGACTATCCGGATAATCGAATAGTCGATAAGAAACTTTTTTATCGTTTGTCGAATAGCAATTATTCGTTTAACCTCTCGAATTCGACTAACCGTTTAATTTCGACTAACCGCTTACCATCGAGTAGTCTGAAAATCGACTAATCCAATTTATTCGAATAGTGACAGTTGTTCATAATGAAATTGTTGTTATTAGCACGCTTAGGTTTCTTCAATAAGCATACGCATTAAAAAAATATATAAAAAAACACTATTTATTGAAATAAGATAAACTGGTCCACAAATCTAAAATGAACGATTAGTCGACTGGTTGTTCGTGAGTGGTTAGTTAGAAAAAGTCACAAAGAAATCGTTAGTAGATTAACTGATTAGTCGACTAATCGATTAACAAGAGCTCTAATCACTAGTTAAATACGAGTGAAAAGTTGCTAAGTCCATTTTTTTAATTACATTTTTATGCAGAAAGCAGAAACAATTAAAAATTCATATTTTTCTTAAAGATCAAACTACCTGTTCTAACTCTTTCTATTCAGTGATGCGCTTATCTGGTAAGTCCAAAATAATTACAGAAAATGTTATAGGAAGACGAATTTTTGAACTGGTTCTGAGCTGTCGAGAATGCAGCGGGCGGCTTTTTCGTTCGATTACGTTTTCGTTGTGCAATTCACAGATGCTTTTTCATCGCTTGGAAACATAAAACAAAAATGTGTACTAAAATGTTAACATCTGAAATTTCTGAAATCTAACCAATAACAGCAAGATTACCTATGCACACTCAGGTACAATTTGAATTACATTTCTTACAATCATTCAGGTAAACTGATTTCAAATTGAAATCACATTTCTTTGAAAATAATTTATGTCAAATCGCTACGATGGGAAAACCAAAAAGACTTTGAAAAAATCAAGTTACATTTTTCGTCGGTCGATTTTAGAACTGGTCCGGAGCTATCGAAAAAGGTATGCAGCGGGGGCGTCGGGGGTACTTAAGTACCGAACCAGTTCGGCACTAGTGCGTTTCTGCACAAGGTAAGTACATATGGGGGAAATCACACCCCAACCTATAAGTGTAAGTGTTTTATGTCAACATATGTACATTGTACATGGGCAAGGAAATCTGCAAAATTTATATTCTTGGTTGAATAGTGCCATAAATGAAAGTGCTTGAAACTTGCATATATATACCACTGATTTGTTTTTAGTAAAATTACCTCATAATTATAATCGAATTAATTTATTACTGAGGATCACTCTTAAGCACTTCTCATAAAATCTAAATAAAAATTTATAATCATTCGATTTTGATTTGAGGCTATTACGCGCTGGTAAAGTTGTATGTATGCACATATACATATGTACATATGTAGTATATATACGGTGACCATCCGTTCTGTTTTTTGCAGCCCCGTACTGTTATTTAAAGGTCTTCCTGCGTAGTTTTTCAAAACAGAAAACCCCCAAAATGTACTGATTTTATCCAAGTGTCCTGCCTTTGTCCCGTATTTTCTTCGATATTTTAAAATTAACTTTCCCTAATTGAAATAAAAGCAGTGTCGATAACTAATTGATAACTACATAAGGGTAAGCTGGTTTTGAAGGTTCAACTAGTCAATGCGTTCTAAATATTGTACGGTTAAGGACAATGGATAACAAGAAATTGAAGACCAGCATCAAATATATCGATAACACTGTTCTACAAATTTTGTGGTAATCGCTTAAGAAAAAAATATTTCTCCAAGCCAATTTTCCTTTCAAACAAGCTTTTTCGTCATTTTTTCGAAAAACATGTTTTTGGTACATTTCGAACCTATTCGTCAATATCTCATGAAAAAATTATCCAATCAACATAAACGACCTACAGTCCTCTTACAAAAATATATTACTTTGCCGATTTCGATGAAAATTATTAGTGTTACAAGCGACCAAGATCGAAAAATTGAAATTTCAATCATTTTCTTTTCACAGTAAATGAAAATCTGATGAGAAATGTAGATGTTACGGAACACAATCTGCACAAAAAATATATATTTTTGCAAAGAGCCCATTAATACCTTTCGAACTGTTGTTCGTTTCATGAGATATTGAGGAATAACTGAAAAAGTACTAAAAATACGTTTTTCGAACAAATATCGAAAACGCTTCTTTGAAACCATGGGTATTTTTTCGTGTTCAACGACCAAAAGTTTGCCTAAAAAATTTACTTTACAGAGGTTCATATTTCATGTAAAGTAATATGTAATATGCCTTATTATAATTTTGTAAATATTCATTACTAAAAGATTAATACCAATGAAGCAAATGTGATTTATGTTTAAAGTTTAAAATTGGATTAATAATTAAGAAATATACACTCTTCATTATTTGAATAGCGCATCCTTTTAATACTTAGTAGGTACAGTTTTCGTTTTGTTTGTTTAATATTCATTAACTTTTTATAAAAATATAGCATATTCTACGTCTACATCCCATTTAAAAAATTTTTGAAAATTAAAAAAAAAATAAACACAGGGGCGACAGTTTTTTTGTTGACGGTGCTGCGCATTTTCTTCCATATAAAAATTTTGTCAAGCATACTTTGTATGGTAGAAAATAAAAAAAAACGAGGAATGTAGTATATTTTTGTTATTTTTATTATACTACGCAATTATATGTAGGTAAATTTTTTGAAAAATTGTCCTGCATTTTCAAAATATATTTATGGTCACCGTAAGTATATACCATATAGGCATATTATGTATGTATGTACGCATTGGCGGATTTGAATATTTGTCACCCCTAGGCAATTTAGAATTTGCCGCCCATTTTCCGATAAGAAAAATATTTTGAGGTAAAAGTACCAGTTTTGGAACGATTAGCAGTAAATAGTAATATTCAAGTTTATGTTATTTAATATACTTTTATTACAATTTAAGATAACAAAGTGGTATTTGCCTTGAGTAAAGGTTTTCAACTTTTAAAGAAAGCCGTCATCAACAAAGTTTTTTCACTTGATAAGTTATAATCTCAAAAATACTAAATTGGTATTTTTAAATATTATCATTTAAATGATATCAAAAATACCTAAAAGTGCTGTCTTATTTGCTGATTGCGTAATTTAATCTCAAAATTATGTCTTAAAATGTTAAAACCCAAATTCTACTTTCAGTGCAACTAACTTGAAAAAAAAAATAAAATAATTTTTTTCAACTCAAAATTTGCCGCTCCTAAATTTTGCCGCCCTAGGCACCTGCCTATGTTGCCTTTACGGAAAATCCGCCACTGTATGTTTGTGTATTTATTGAGCGTGTGCGTTAAAGTGCGTAAATTACATACACAGGGATTAGTAACAGCATTCCATTGCTGTTAACATTTGTATTTAAAATATTATGCACTACATAATTATTGTCCGGCCAATGATATCTTACATGGGTTTGGAAGGAACTGTAAATAATAAAACTAAGTAGCACGTCAACAGGGTTCTTTAAGTTCTTAAAGTTTTAATGGAGTACTTTGTTATGGAATTTTAGTGTTCGTCTTTGGATTTCAAACAAATGCTGAGATATTTAGTAATTACTAACAAAATTAATGGAATTTAAATAAAAGACTATATATATGCCATTGCATACATATGTACATATGTATAAAAGCAAACAATCGTATGTAAAATGGGATTTCGTAAACTTTAATGTATTATAAAATGATAAAATTTGATATATTAATTTGATATCTAGCAAAATATTTCACCTAATTCAGAGACACTTCAACATGCAAAATTTGGACCAATGTTCTCGGCATCGTTAAAAGATACTTGTCGTTGTTGTTGTAGCGGCTACAACCACCCCGCCCAGATCGGCTAATATCTCAGTCGCTGTCGTCAAGCTCAACTTACGGAAGACCCAAGAAGCGTGCAGCCCCACCCCTGTGTGGGGTTTGTGGGCATGCGAAGAGATTTTTCGAATCGTGGGGTGTCTCTCCGCATGCCGGACACTCATTGGGCACATATACATCTAGTCTGCACAGGTATGAGTTCAACCTGCTGCAGTAGCCAGAGCGAAGTTGGACTACTGTGGCCCGAGTCTCCCAAGGCAGACGACGCTCCGTCTCGTCCACGTCAGGTGTTTGTGTGCCCAGAATGGAATTCACTGATCTGGAGTGTATGTAACTCGAGACCGACTCCCTGTGAATGCCGCTGAGGGCCAGTCGATATGCTGTCGGGTCCAGAGGTTGCATTATAAACCTCTGGACTTCATCCGTCAGTTCGTATAGATGCCTTCTGGCTAGGGACACGAATTTCGATACGATACGATACCATATCGATACTTTTGGCATTCGATTCCGATATTTTCTACTCGATAGTTTTGAAACGATATTTTTTGGAATCGAGTACCAGAACCCAAGTATCGTATCGAATATCATAAACTCACATTACAAAGATAATGTTATTAACAATTCTTCCCGATATAAATTGGGCTTTAAAGAGAAGAAATTTGTAATATAGTTAGGATTGCATGTGGTGGAATTTGACCCCGCGACCTCGGTGTTTTAAGTCAACACATCAATCTCTACGTGCTGTTACACAATATGTTAGTGTTTGACCGAGATTCTCCTCCGATTTGTCGCGCGAGCGCTTTAATGTTGTGGCACAAAAGGGGCCTCTACAGTTTTATGTCGACTCTGAATGGCGATTTTGTTTTAATGGGAAACTGTTTTTCATTTTCAAGCTTTGCGCACTGCCAACCATTACACCACAGCGGCCTATATACGAGACCTATATTTAGATAAATTTTTTTTCGATATTTGGTATCGATATTTGGAATATCGAGTCTTTTTATTCCGATATTAATGGGTACCCGATATTTTTAAAGCGATACTTTAAATGAGTACCATATCGATACTTTCTGTTCGATATCGTGTCCCTACTTCTGGCATGCCATGGCGAGAGCTCCTCTGCAAGCAGGTGTCTGTACGATGTCCACGTTTGTGGATTCCTACTAAGAATTGCTTGCAGAGCATTGTGTTGTGCTCCCTTATGGGGATCATTTTCGCCCCGTTATGCAGGAGATGTTCTGGCGACATCAGAAGACATCCGGTCGATGTCCGGAGTGCTGTGTTTTGGGTCGTCTGCAGGTTCATTCACTGCGTCCTACTGGTCCCCGGCGACCACAATGGTGCTGCGTAATTTAGAATCGGCCAGTTAAGTGCCTTGTATCTTGCCAACAACGTTTCTTTGTCTTTGGCTCAGGTTCTGCCGGCTAGCGACTTGTAGATCTTGTTGCGGCTCTGTTTTTTGTTGACAATTGCGAATGTTTTCGGGTTATTCACCGTCGGAATTAGTGTGTCATCAACGTGAATACCCAGAGGTAGTCTGACTCCCTTCGTCCAGGTGGTAAACTGGGTGGCTGAGGATTTCGTAGAAGAGACGGTTAGGCTCCTAACAGTGCAGAAGCGAAAAAAGTCGGAGAGGTAACCGTTTACTTTCGAGCATCAATTCCATTCCCAGACGCCATTATCGCTCAATCGTCGCATAAGAGACAATCGAGACTCCCTCTGGTGGTTGAGGGAGCTTGGAAATAAAGTAGTTAAACAGTAATAGGGAAAGGACACCACCCTGTGGAATCCCCAGTTTTATTTTTCTAAGTTTGCTCAACTTGTCTCTAAACATTATGGACGAGTGCCGGCAACTCAGATAATTCGCCTACCACCCTTTGAGTCTCTGTGGGCGGGAGGAGGCCTCTATGTATATTCTGTTTATCAGACCAGTGCTGACGATTGTTATGTCTGGCGAGCTGCAGCAGCTGCCCGTAATCCTGGTGGGTGCGTCGTCGTCCATTGTTCAGAATGTCGAATCGTTTATCTGCTCAGCCAAGTGTCTTTCCCTAGGATTACTTTACAGGCTTGAATGCCAAAGATCCTGGTGCGCATTAAAGTTGCCAACTACCTACGGTCTTCACCTCTGAGAAGCGCACCTATTTCAGGGTGATATCCTGCCGGGAAGCTGGTGACAGGGGGTATATAAACCTTAAATATTTCGAGCTCGACGTCACCTGACC